TGCTATTAGGTCCGAGGCCATCGCTAGTAGGGTGGAGGCCATCGCTACTAGTAGCAAGAAACTACTATTTGAATGGGTGCAGGGCTGCAGGGCTCAAAATGGCAGAATTTCCAGGTCTTTGAATCCGGAAGTGCAGCATGTGACGCTTGGGGAGGGCTCGATGTGTACGCAATAATTCGTGAGACCATGTGAGACCCCTGCAGTTGGACCACTGAAAAGAGCAAAACTAAACAACTATCGGTTGGAGGCAGTCACATGTCGCAAACAGTCTTTATGTTTTTCACTTTGCCCAAGAGGCCATATGCCATAAGGCCACGAGTTCAGAGAGAGTGGTGTGAAGTTTTGCAAGAGGTTTCAGTATTGCACATCCTACATGTACGACGTGTGCACTCACGAACCGATCTTTTCTCTTAGATTGGAGATTCGAGCTCCCGGACACCCTCAAACTCCCGTGCTCGGGACCTAGCTGCCTAGCTGTAGCTGTTCAAGTGCCTTTTGGTGGACTGGCCATTTTTCCAGCTAAGACCTGCAAGTGTGGCCACTTCAGTGCGCGACGTTGGTTCCAGGCACGACGCGGAAGATAATTGATCACTTCACGCTCTCGTGAGTGGCCGGGCCCTGCAACGCATGGGACTTTGCTGAGAAGGAACTTCATTCAATATGAATGCCCGATTGGGGAGGTCCAATGAAGTTGCAGAGGCAGAAAATGGACCATGTCCGAGGGGAGTGTCTTTGTGGTTTTCGGGGATTGTGTGTAGTTGTAGTGTTGTGTTTTCTATGCCTTTTCCGACATGCTTCACCTGAGTATATACTGTACATCACTGCCTCTTGCTGTCTCACAGCCCTGTGGCTAGCTACTTGGTTCAAGCGTTAGTCACTCATGAGCACATGAGCAGAAGAATCAAGGACATGATCTGTTTCCATCACACTTGATATGCAGCTGAAAGGAGACAAGCTTCAGCAAAACTTGATGTAGAGCTACTGCAGCCCAAAGCAGCGCAACATTTAGCATCCACGCTGTCCAATGGGCGTGCTTGGTCTGCATGGGTTGAAATCACCGTTTCCGCAAAGGCGGTTTCACTCGAGATGATCTCTCCTTTGGGACAGTAAGAAATCTCTCCCCGACAGAATTACAATTATTATGATATTTTTTTAATGACCAGCGGATACCAGTGGTCATGATTGCTACTGTGCTGTCAACTTCCATTGCTGTGGTTTCATGAGAATCATTGTCCTGAAAGGCCCCTCTTGAAACACAGACTCACTTGAGTTGAGCTAAGGTTTCCTTTTCGCGAAAACTTCCACATCAGGATTTTCGACTCTATTTCAGCGAAAGGCAGGGCTTTCAATTCTTATTCCCTGGATTGCTCGTGGATTTTGTGCATCAACAACCTACAAACTAGACCAATGTCTTATGACATAAAGGGACCAATGTCTTATGAGTGTCTTCATCGCTATGAGCTTGGAGGCCATCGCTATTAGCTCAGTGACTCCAAAGCCTCCAAAGCCCCATGGACTGTGTTAGCACCAAAGAGCTCCAGTCCATGGGGCTTTGGAGTGAACAGACGTTCAACCTAAACGTCCGTTGAACTGATCGAACCGCTTTTCTGAATCGCTGCCAGGTTGTTCTTTGGCTGGGAAGAGTTGCTTTGCTGTCCTGAGGCAGCTGAGTCTTTGCAGACGAAACCTGCAGTTTTGATCAACCTGTGGACAAAGATTGGACAGACCGATCAGCACCATAAATTAGGCATGTCGCTGTTTCTTTCATGTTGAGGCATACTCATCCACATTGTGAGAAGCATGTGGCCCATGTGGCTTGTGCAGGTGGCGGGCTGCAGCATCCGAAAATATGCGGAGGATGATGCCTATGGTGGACAAGTGGGATGCCTGGTGATTGCCACGCTTTTGGTACTTTTGTTTTTCTCCAGAAAGGCCTCATGAAGTGGTGCGTGTGGATTTAGGCCTGAGAAATCCTGACAAGGTTTTGGGGTTGGTCAACTTGGTGCAATGAACCCTGGAAAGTGGCATCTGAAGACTTCTGTGTGACATGTGGAAGGAATTCTGGAACACCATGGACTTAGACATTAATGCCAACTCTGTTTTATGTCGCATGCATTGCATGCATTTGCCTGTTCACCCGTGAGATACTTGGTGAGGTTGAGTACACCGTGATGAGAAGCAGCTTGTTTGCAGAGCGAATTTCGTATCAGCAGAGTGCTGCCATTCACCTTCCAGCTGAGAGCTTGAATGCTTCATTGCATAAGAGCACATACCATTTCTGAGCTTCCTTGCGCAGGGCCAGGAAGTATGAAACTTTCTCGAGTACTGTACTATAGATTGTTTTATGCTGACAATATGACTATTACCCATTCATTTTAATACATCCGTGTTATCGATTCTTGAAGCACTTGCATTCTTCATTTTGCTGCGAGGTGTATCCTACAGTCCATACGTGCTGGACCCAGGTGTGTAGAGTCCATACTCAAAAATATGATGATAGCGGTGTCAACTGATCAATCTGCGCTCCTTCACCTGTGAGTCCAAAGAAGTTGTTGTTCTTGTGGGGATTTGTGCGGTACCTTCCTGTGCTTTTTGACGTGCTCAAGACAGATGGAGCGTTGTTTCTGGCTCTTGGATTTGCCTGGTGTGAAGCCTGGTGTGGAGTTTGATTCTCCATGGTTCGAAATATCTGGCCGAATCCGGTCCCGTACCTTGAATCCTGAGCTGATCATCCACTCACCACGACCAAACTGGAGCAGAATTGCCGTTGGCCAGGCACCCCCAGGAGTGCCTAAAGCAACAGTTAGTTTCTATTGGTTCTCCGGTCAGATTCTCACCTCATGTGACTCACCATTGAAGATCTCAGGAGAAGAACTCCGGCGAGTTTTTTCACAAAGAGTCAAATCTTCAAGAGAGTATCGATTGGTCTATGGAGACATACCTTTGGAAGACTCACAGATTCTTTCATTTAAAGCAGGGACACAGGTAAGCATCAATGTTGTCCGCACTGGCTCCAAAGAAGATGCACGAGAAGCTGATCTCTTCAAGTTGTGGGTGCAAAGACTTTGGGAACGCTGTGAGGATGTCGCACTCACATCAGACTATTGGGAGGCTCTTTGGATTCAACAGGTCAAGATGGCAGACTATCTTCAACAAGCAATTTTCGAGGCGCTGAAAGCAAAAGAGAGGAGGCGCTTGACGAAAGGAGACCTACCTTGTCCTGCTCTCCGCACAGTAAGGCCTTCATCTGTCCCCTGGCCTTGCCCACAGAAAGGCAAGCGTTCTAGCAAACAACCAGGAGAGTCAAGAAGGAGATGACCTGCTCCCTTTCCTGCTAGGTTGAACTCATTTCCATCGTTTCGATGCCAGTTCACCCTGTCAACCTGCTTTCCCTCCAAGGAGTTCCTCAATAGCAGCAGTAAGGGTTTTAGGGAACAACGTTCTAAACATATTTGTTCCGTTTGATGTCTTGACTCTGCTGAATGCTCACATAGCGTACTGTGCCCATGCACGGTGTGAGCCACTTCCTGTGCAGTCAATTGCGGCTCGTCAAAATGTGCTCGCCAACTGTGGCTGTTCAGTTGGAGCTGAATTAACTTCATTCGTTGTGATCAATTCTCAAAGATGTTGAGGATCGCGTTCAGTTACCTTGACTTGGCAAAGTGCATAGCCACTAAAGAAGAGAACAAACAATTCATTTTGAAACAACCTTGACCCAGACAGGTCAATGTGGAATTGAATGTTCAACATGGAAACTGCAAGCACGACGACAGATTGAACAGCGTGCCTGCGATGGCCTCCAACCTTAAGTTTCCCAAGAATCTAGGAACCAAATGAATAGTGGGAGCGCTTCTTCAAGGAAGCCCCCCCCGCCGCCTGAGCTATCCTGCGTCCAAGGTAGTAGCTTGTAGGTTCTGGCTACCTAGCCTCTACTAGCTACCTGGCCTCTACTAGCTACCAAGCTACTACTAGCTACCTCGGCCTGCCCCAAAAAGAAACAACGATATAACTATAACTTATAACACCCTTATTTCAAAAAAACAATCAATCGGCTTCTTCTCCGCTTTCTTTGAGGTACCCCGCTTCGTCATGGAAGTGCGAAAGCGCTCCATTCCGCGACCCGCGGTCGTAGGCCGATGCGAATGTGTGATGCGAATGTGTGAGTAAGAAACCATGCAAGTCTAAAAGAAGGTATTCTATGGTATTAAAAGGGTATGAAAAGTAGCACAGTTAAACCGATTAACATGAACAAAACAAGGGAAAATGGATCTCAAGGTCTAAAGAAAAAGCCAAAGTGCAAGCTTGATAGTTTTATCGCACTGACTTCTCTGTCAGACATTCATGTCTCGGATCAGAACTTGAGTGTCGACAAAGAATACCTGTCGCACCGCCGCGCCATTTTCTCAGGGCGTTTGGAAAAGTTGGACACGATCTTTCGGGCCAAGACCGGTGAGTCGTGGCCTCAGGGCGCGGCCGCGGCACACAGAGCACACGACTCACTGTGGCGCGTTGAAACTCTCGAGGTTTCTGTGTGTGAACCTGTGGAAGCTGGTGGTTAATGGCCTCCAATGGTCGTCAAAGCCTCGATGTTTGAGTCTTTGGAAAGGCAGAGTATCACTCTGCTCTGGCATCCAGTGATACAATGTGCGAGGATGCAGCTTTATATGATTTTACATGAAATAAGGGAACCACGCGACAAAATTGATTTGGGGACTCCCAATTCATCGCAGTGGGGACGGTTACGACGTGAAGCAAGTCGAGAAACTGGACTCCTCTGAATCGAAGAAGCTTGTTTTCTCACCAAACATCCATTACTAGTAACAAGTGCCTCGCTAGTAGTAACAAGTGCCTTACTAGTAGTAACAAGTGCCTCGCTAGTAGTAACAAGTGCCTCGCTAGTAGTAACAAGTGCCTCGCTAGTAGTAACAAGTGCCTCGCTAGTAGTAAGAAGTGCCTTACTAGTAGTAACAAGAAGCTAGTAGAAACAAGTGCCTTACTACTAGGAGCAAGGATGCTACTAGGGGCTCCTGGCCTTACTACTAGGAGCAAAAAGCTATTAGAATTGAATTGAATTAAAAAAAAAGCTATTAGAATTGAATTAAAATTAAAGTAAATTAACTAATAGCTTCTTGTTACTACCAGTAAGGCACTGGTTACTAGAAGCGATGCACTTGTTACTACTAGCTTCTTGTTACTACTAGTAAGGCACTGGTTACTAGAAGCGATGCACTTGTTACTACTAGCTTCTTGTTGTTACTACTAGCTTCTTGTTACTACTAGTAAGGCACTGGTTACTAGAAGCGAGGCACTTGTT